CTCTTAGCTCACCACAATGATGTTGATTTCCTAAAGATGCAGAAAATGTTCACTTTTAAAGTGAATGTTTAATTATTTTTTACTCAATAAGGCAAATCCATGTTCAATACACAATTGTGTATAAAGGAAATTAAATCAACAGGAAATTAGCTTATAGATTGGGTGGATTTACAAAAGGAGAAGAGGCTGTTCACTTAGAAAAGTACATTGTAGTAGATAAGGTGAACCTGTGTTTACTTTCAATACCCAATCACATACAGGAAAAAAAGCAGGATTTTTTATAGCTGGTGATTGGTTAATTGACGTGAACACCTAATTTACCAAGGTTAGTGAACATTACCTTTGCACAGTGAATAGTTGTTTCTTGTTTAGATAAAACAGTCTCATTGCTGGAAGAAGTAAACTCAACTTCAGTGTATTTACTAGCTACGTAAATATTTACTTTAACTACCTGCTGTCCGGCCTTTGTAAATAAACGGCCGGACAGCGGCTTCTTGAGGGCGGTTGGGCGTCTTTAGACGTCCTATACCGTTCTGCTCAGGCCTGCCGCTTTGAATGTAAACAGCCAGCGATGGCTGTTTACATACAAGCGCTCGGGCGTCTGTAGAGACGCCCGATCGCTTGTAATATCCGGTCGGGTGTGCGGGGCCCCCCCCCCTCCGTCACCGCAGCTCTGCGGCCGGAGATCAAACATAGCTCAGTACACGAGCTCCGTTTGATCTCCTCTCCTCTTCTGAATGCAGGCAGTGATGTGTATTACATCACTTCCTGCATTCAATGTCACTCTCCGGTACAGAAACCGGAGAGAAGCTGGTGAAGCAGGTCTCTGCTTCATCAGCTTATCTGGGGGTCCCTAGGTGACATTAGGGGTCTTATGACCCCTGATGTCTCCATAAAGAGGACCTGTCACTGCAAATTGGCTATCACATAGGGAGTTTGCTTGCTCCCTATGTGATAGCAATAACGTTCAGTGAAAAAAAAAAGGTTTAAAAAAATTTGTTTAAAAAAAATTAAAATAAATAAAAAATTACATCTCAAAGCAATAATAATAAAAAAAAATTAAAGTCCCCCACACGCAAACATGCGCCAAGCCCGCCTACATGCGAAAACGCTGATTACATCCATTGCGCCGCACATGTTACATATCGCCGGGAACGTCGGAATGAGAGCAATAATTCTAGGGTCATCAATCACTGATAACACTAAACTGATGAGCGGTAAAAGCTTTTAAAGCGTCGGCTATGGTCAATTTTGAGTATGGTAGTTTTTTGCGATCTAACGGGTGCACGCAATTTTAAAGCTTAAAATGTTTGGTGTCTATTTACCCGACGTGACCCTGTCTTTTATATTTTACCAAAAAACTGGGTGATAATAAATGTTTTATAACATAACGTAGGGAGAACAGTTTAAAAAAAAATAATAATTTTGTACTTTTTTTTATTATACAGTAAAAAAAAAAAACCTGTAGTGGTGATTAAATACCACCAAAAGAAAGCTCTATCTGTCCCCAAAAAATGGTATAAAATTCATTTCAGTACAGCATTGCATGATGGAATAAATGTCAGTCAAAGTACTGCTGCGCTAAATACTGAAAAATGGCCTGGTCAGGAAGGGGGTCTAAACAGCCCGGTCAGCAAGTGGTTAAAGTGTATTTCCAAATTTGAGAAAACCCCTCTATATGTTCTTTATACGTTTCTGGTCATATAGTATACTGAAAAATAACTTCTTATCTTTTAGATGTTTTGTTATATCACGCAAAATGGCTTATGCTATGTGAATGGGAAAATTGTAACAAATATCAAATGTGTGTTATCCCAATTTGGCTGTAAAAAGTGGAAATACACTTTCACAATATAATAATTCTCTTCTCCTTAACTAAACCCAAATAAGTCTGATCTGATGTGTGGATAGATTCACAAACCAAATGAACTGCATGTTTTTAATATATTAGGGCCCATTCACATCTCTCCAGTGTGGTGCATTGCAGAAATGGCACCCCAACACATTAATCAAACCTCTGACGCACTTGCGTTGCAGTACACCACAATGCGGAGCGCTGGAGAAAAATGCTGCATGCCCGATTGTTTGTCCATTTTGGTGTATTGGCAGCCAGTGTATAAAAACCAATATGCAAAAGTAAAAATTTAATAGCAGGCACCACATGAATTGTTAGCTAAAAATACTTTTTACTAGGGGTCTGAGTTCCCAGAAAAACTGTAATTTTGATGTACAATAAGAGTACCCTAGTGATCAGAGATCTTTTATTTAACCAGGTGGAAGCTGATGTATATGACGAAAAAATCTGGGATGATTTCTTCACAATAACCACATGAAAACAGATTGTCTTTGCTATATATATAAAAATATGTTTGCACTGGATAAAAATATGCTACATGTTTTCCGCTGGATTTATTCTCCAATGGCCTCTAGATGTGTAAATCTCATGATACTGTATCATTATTATTTAAGACAAGGACAAATGCATAACAGAGAGACATCTACCTGAGCAGGTAAGGGAAGAGCAGGGAGAAACAAAAAGTTATAGCATCTAATCACATCCAAATTATGTTTTACTTTTTTGTGCATTCTTTTTTAATCTGATATCTAATATTTTTCACACGTATTTTACCATTTTCTTATTTCAGAAAATAATTTGGGAACAAAATGATAATCTGGTGGTTTATATCATTTAAAGTATCACTTACAGGTATGGTTACAGGAGATTACAGATCTTAGAAATGCCTACATCTGTTTTCTGTCCAGGTTGCTGTAAGCAAAGCTAGTAGAATCTTGTCCTGCATCAAGAAGGGAATGTTTTGCAGGGATAGGTCTATAATTTCGCCACTTTACACATCAATGGTTCGGCCCCACCTGGAGTATGCGGTGCAGTTTTGGGCACCGGTCCACAGAAAGGATGTCCTTGAACTGGAGAAAGTCCAGCGGAGGGTGACCAAACTCATAAAGGGGGATTGAGGACCAGAGCTATGAGACACGGCTACTAAATTTAAACATGTTTACGTTGGAAGTAAGGAGATTAAGGGGGACATGATTTTCATGTACAAAATATTCCATAGTCATAGCATCATTAGCAACAAACTCTTTGAGATTAATTCTGTAACAAAGACTAGAGGACACCACCTAAAACTGGTAGAAAAAAAATTCGAACACAGGGGGCGAAGGGGGTTCTTCTCAGTTCGCGCAGTTAGGGTCTGGAACTCACTGCCTCAAGCGGTAATTTCCGCAATTAATCTGGAATCATTCAAGAGGCTTTTGGACGACTTCCTGAGAGACCGAAATGTACAAGGGTACAGGTACTCTTAAGAATGAGAACACTCATGGATCTATACACACACACACACACACACACACACACACACACACACACAAAACAGGTAGGACTTGATGGACTTATGTCTTTATTCAACCTCAAATACTATGTTACTATGTTACTATATAAGGATGGGGCAATCTTTGTTCAGGCATCATCCAGGGTCAGCATATATTTCATGGAGATGTCAGATCACATATGACACAATCATCTAATGCTGGTGTCTGTGCAGCTCTTGGTTGTGTTTATCAATGCCTGGCACAGATGAATCCCTGATGCAGGCTCTAACCATGTGACTTGTACATTTATTATGTTGTAGTCTAATCACTGGAGGAGAGGAGACTGGTGACATCATATATCATATATATACAGTATTGTATAAGCTGACCCCAGACCCCAGTATACCTTCAGCTCGCGGTATACTGAGCCTAGGGTGACGGGAGGATGCTAGTTTGTGTCCTCCCATTACCCTAAGGAGAACTATGGGGAAAAGCCTTAACCCCATAGTTCTCCTTTAATGTGGATTTTGGTTTTCTGACACACTACCAGAACAGTTTTATGAATATACCGAACATCATAATATTCATGTATGTCTTGTCATGTTGATTAGTATTGCTTCTGACCTGAAGAAGAGAGGTTAACTCTCGAAAGCGTGTCTTTTTTTCAACTTAGAGATTTTATTCATTTTCCAGAAGGTAGTGAATAGCCGAACAGTGTTCGGCTTACTTCACTTCAGATCGGTCATTCACTCGGCTGCCCTCTGCAGCTTCATGAATAGACCCCATAGTAAACAGAGAAGGAAATGGAAAAAGACATGCCTTGGTCCTTATCATACAGGTTACAGAACTTTGGTTGATAACAACAAGAGACGAGTAAAGCAAGTAAAATGCAATTATAATCGAGCTCGCACCATTATGATATGAATAATGATATACCGAAAGTATCATACAGGAGGAGTGCCTCTAGGACCTCTAACCACTGGTACTTGTTTTCCTCGTTATGTACCAGAAACCTTAATTCTGAAGCAAGTAGTGGCCCCTACTCTGATATGGGTTCTTAAGAAATCATTACAAAATACTTATAGTCCAATTAAGAGTATAGGCTTGAGGTGGGTTGTAGTATGAGTAAGGCAAGGCGATGGACATAGGGGGGGGGGAAGAAAGGTAAGGCAATATCTGTCAAGAGTTGAAAGTTATACTCTTTGGTGTTTGTTACAACACGATAAAGTTATTTTATATATGTGGTAACATAACTATTATTGTATTCCATCCAAAAGAACGTATGAGTGGTTGAAGGTAGAACCTGGAATTATTATTGTGCACTATTTTTCATATACACCAGCCAGGCATCCCATTGGCAGTGAAATTTAGATTTTGCGCTGAAGTTGCTGCATTGGGTGATAACCTGCGGTTAGGGACAGATGAGCAGCCCTGGATGCAAACAGGTAATGGCTCCTTAAGTGATTACGTGTAAATAGCGATGGACAATCATGGACAGGTTCAGCTTGTTACTGATTTGTATAGGTTTCCTGTCCACAGCTGATCATAAATATCTAGCCATACTCACAAAAAGTATGCTGATCTGGGTGGTTTATAGCCCTCTGCACCTGAGTGAATAAGCACCTTTTAATAAGCTGCCTTTTTTATTCCATTTTCAGAACTATAACATATCTATGAATTCTTACAATCAAACCATAGTCACTGACTTTATTCTAAGAGGAATTTCTGATGACAGTGAGATGCAGGTTCCATTCTTCCTTCTGGTTCTGGTCATTTATCTCATTACTCTTGGTGGTAACATGATCATTATTATTCTGATCTGCCTGAACCAACACCTCCACACACCTATGTACTTCTTTGTGGCCAATCTGTCCATCTTTGACATATCTTGCTCCGCAGTCACTCTTCATAGGGTACTCACTAACTTCCTATTAGATGATAAAAGAATTTCCTTCTTTTGTTGCATGGCACAAATGTATATATTCTCAGGCTTAACAAGCAATGAATTACTTTTACTGTCGGCCATGAGTTTTGATCGTTATGTTGCAATTTGTAATCCTTTACGCTACCACATGGACATGAATCCTAGAGTCTGTTCACTGTTGGCTGCCATATGCTGGTCAGTAGGTATAGTACAAGTTCTTCCTATTGCTGTTGTACTGTCAATCTCCACCTGTTACAAATCTAATGAGATCAATCACTTCTTCTGTGACATGATGCCTTTGATTAAACTGTTATGTGATATTTCATTTATAGAACTTTTCGTTTTCATAAATGCAATGTTTTATGCTACCTTTCCATTCTTGTTCACTTTTGCCCCATACATACCTATTATATCAACCATACTGAGGATCCGTTTCAGCACTGGTAGACGTAAAGCCTTCTACACCTGTTCCTCCCATCTCACTGTGGTCATCCTTCTTTATTCCACCTTAATCTGCCAGTATCTAAGACCAACATCAATGGACAAAGAAGACTCCAATAAACTGTTCTCATTGTTTAATACAGCTGCTCTTCCCATACTAAATCCTCTAATTTACAGCCTAAATAATAAAGATGTGAAGTCAGCTTTAAAGAAGAGTCTGAGATAACTGTCAGAGTGTGCAACTCTTTTTTTTTTTTAATTTGCAGAGGAAGTAGTCCAAAAATATCTAAAATCTGCTGCAACTTGTTTGGTTGTGAAGCTTTGTCAGAACATGAGTATGCACTATGCAGCAATAATGGATACTCACAAAACATATCTGTTATAGCATACATACAGATATTTTACTAACATCCCCCATAACTCTGAGGGCAACTGGTAGTACAATTTGATTCTTACCAAAAACTAGAAAAGAATGTCCCTGCACTTCACCCAACTGAGCTGCACTTCACATTTTAATAAATCAGACTGAATAAAGGTCAGATTCCTTGGAAAAAGAAATGATGTTGGTTTAAGTTAAAGGCTAGAAGAGGGCATGGAAGATCAACAAGGTGGATTAACAAATTCACAATAAAGCAATACTCTTTCTATATTTCAAATTAGTGTTCGAAATGTTTATCTTGTGGGTTTCTTTCCTTAAATAATAATCTAAGAATAATTGGACAATGATTATCCTATGTGATTAGGGTTCTCTACAATTACAGGTATATTGCTTAATGAAGATGTCACTACCAAATGTACTATCTCAGTATACACTCAGGAAAAAGACGGGTTTAATGTAGATAATAATGCAAGTAGCTCATTGCAAAATATACCACAGTGGTTGGCAGAAGCCGGGCTTCAACATAGACTTGAAAACCTTAATGCAAATAAAGCATTAGGGCCAGATAACCTGCACCCCAAGGTGCTTAAAGAACTCAGCCAGGTTATAGCGAGACCATTATTCCTCATTTTCAAGGACTCCTTAATGTCTGGTAGAGTACCAAGTGACTGGTGGAAGGCTACGGTAGTACCGATATTCAAAAAAGGGTCAAGATGCCAACCTGGGAACTACAGACCAGTCAGTCTAACACCAATAGTATGCAAACTGTTAGAGGGAATCATAAAGGACTACTTAGTAGAGTTTGTTCATGATAATGGTATAATAAATGATAATCAGCATGGATTTAGGAAGGACCGTTCCTGCCAGACCAACCTACTAACATTCTACGAAGAGGTAAGTAGAGATCTGGATGGAGGGAGGCCGGTGGATGTGGTATATTTGGATTTTTCGAAAGCGTTTGACACAGTACCACATATACGCTTACTACACAAGCTGAGGTCTACGGGCATAGATAAAATGGTATGTACATGAATAGAGAACTGGCTACAGGAACGTGTCCAGAGAGTATCGATAAATGGCTCCTTTTCAGATTGGTCAAGTGTTAGGAGTGGTGTGCCTCAGGGTTCTGTGCTAAGCCCCATATTATTCAGCCTGTTTATTAAAGATATTGGGGAGGGCGTGAATAACAATGTTTCCCTGTTTGCTGGTGATACTAAAATTGGGAGGGTAATAGACACGGACTTAGACACTATACCATTACAGGAGGACCTGGATAAAATAGGGGAGTGGGCAACTATATGGCAGATGAGGTTTAATGTTGATAAATGTAAAGTAATGCACGTTGGGGTTGAATATAGGCAAGCGGAATACACATTAATGGGAACTCCACTAGGGAAGTCAGAAATGGAAAAATATCTGGGGGCCATTGTAGACCACAGACCGAATAATAGCCTGCAAAGCCAGCCTGCTGCAAACAAAGCAAGCAGAGTACTGTCTTGTATTAAAAAGGGAATGTACTGTCGAGACAAATCTATAATTTTGCCACTTTAGAGATTGCTGGTTCTGCCTCATCTGGAGTATGCAGTCAAGTTTTGGTCACCAATCCACAGAAAGGCTGTCCTGGAGCTAGAAAGAGTCCAGAGAAAGGCAACCAAACTAATTAAGGGGCTGGAGGACCTAAGCTAGGAGACAAGGTTACTAAATTTAAACATGTACCCGCACAAGTGAGGAAATTAAGGGGGATATGATTTTGATGTACAAGATGTTCAATGGGGATAGCAACATCAGCAATAAACTTTTTACGGAAAACTCCATTACAAAGACTAGAGGCCACCACCTAAAATTGGTGGAGAAACGATTTCAGCACAAGGGGCGTAGGGGCTTTTTCTCAGTTAGAGCGGTTAGGGTCTGTTACTTGCTGCCGCAAGAAGTGATTTCAGCTGAGAGTGTTGAATCATTCAAAAAGCATTTTGGCAGTTTCCTCAGGGACCATAACATACAGGGGTACAGGTACACTTAAGAACAAGATCACACAGGGTCTCATACACATGCATACACATGCAGAATCACATACATACACGCAATAGGTTGAACTTGATGAACCTGTGTCTTTATTCAACCTTAAATACTATTTAACTATGTACCTAGGTATGCAATTTCTGTGGCAGTTTATTATATTGTACCTTCTTGAGCTAATTATTTATTTATGATTACTAAACATGCTTCAGTTGTACTGCAATCATAGTATTGCCTCTTGCATCACTTTTATGCATCATAACAGCACAAAAACACATATGAAACTTTACTTTCACAGAAGTAAAATTTACTTCACTGAATAACATTTGAAGTTGTGTTGTAATGACCTCTAGAGACAGCTGACGTTACAGGTACAGAGATAGATAAAAAGCTTGGAATTCATAACGGAACACTGGTAGATGAATGCAAATTATTGTTTTTTGGCTACAGCATTTGCAGTATAACCAAAGTTCAAGGTGAGTTATTATATTTTTATGTCGGGTGAATACAGAATATAGAATAAACAGCTTCAAGTTGATCTCAGACATTTAAATAATAGTTGAAAACTATTATTTACCCACCTATTCATATTGCTAGGTAAATTCACGCACACAAACACATACATGCAAAATATAACTAACACAGCTATACCAAAAAAAAAAATATACCACATTAAATGATATAAATAGGTAGTGTGCATATAGGTTAGTCATATATATAGTTGCAATCAATATAAATGTATAAAAAGTATAGAAGTACAAAAGTACAATAAATATAAATTCATAAACAAGGGATAATCTTCCGTATTTGCATATACTGTATATATATATTTTTCTCACTCTTCTATAGAGTCCAATGTATTGTGATAATGTGACATGAATCAATGCTTGAAAATCCTCTTATAGAACCATACAACACTATGCCCCACCACCAATGGATTCACCAAGAACTCTAAGACCTCTAAGTTTTTGGTAGGTCTTAGATCGACAACTTATTTGCCACAGTAAACATCCACTGAGAGTAATGGAGGACCAGATCACCACATCTCACAAATTAAATCTTCCGGCAATGGTAGTCAAATAAAATGAAATTTCATAAAGCTTAATTGTTTATTTATAAAATTGCATTTAGACAGAAAAATGCATCTGTTGCATGTGCCTGAAGAAGTCCAACAGGAAGAAACACATAGGGCTGGGTTAACATGCGTTATCACACTACAAATTCAATCCATTTGAGTCATATTGGTAGAAGATTTGATTTGTTAGATGTGATGCCATACAGCATTGGATAATTGAAGTGAATATGCACACATTTTTTTGATATAGGGTGGTGGTCAACTTACTTTCAGACCTTTATATTACCAAAGGGTTGCACATAATATTCAATGAGTATGATGCTATTGGAAACTGTCAGAGACTGCAGACATGAAGCAAGAGATGATCAGAGGTACATGCTACAAGAGATGATCAGAGACTGCAGCTATAGGAGTTGTTGGAAACACGCTGGCATGAAGCACAAATATTATAGCTCCTTTACAAATTAGTGCTTCTACATTCATGCTCCCTACAGCACCCTTAAAAATGATTTGTGCCACATTTGATATTCCACTTGATATTCCACTCAACAAGCTCCATTATACAAGATCATAGGAAAAAACAAAACAAGAGAAAGGGATTAAAAACACAGTAAAATGTAAGATGGCGTGAAAGCAATCAACCAAACTACTAGAAGCCAGGCTAATGAATGTTGCTACTTTGCTAGCCTTAGTCAGTATCTATGTAGGGAAAAGCTATGTCTGCAGAGGCCCTGAGGGCCATACAACATGTGGTAAGGGCCTCAACCTGGGCAGCAGGCCCCTAGAATGTATCGGGTCTGTATGGAAATGGTTCTGCTCAAACCAGTCCTAAAGGATTGCTGAACTTAGCTATCAGAGATGACAGAGCATGAAGATTCTGAAATATTTCACTTACAAATACTGTACAAATCTCGATAAAGCAGTCTTGCTATACAAATCTTAGTAAACAGGCATTAAAAATAGGGTAGGATATATAACAATAGCTCCTTGTTCAAATTAGAATCCAGGATCTTTATAACACAAAATGCCTGAGACAAAATGGAGGAAAACACAGATGGAGTTGTCAAACAAGCTTCAGTACAAGTCTGAGGAGCATTCGCTTTAGCTTCTGCCTAGCTCTGGATTTATTTATTTCCATCCCTTCTAGGTCACTTACATTACTTACTATAAGAGGAAGTCCAGAGTGATACCAAGGGGCCTAATGATAAAACATTTGCTGTGCGAATATGCCAGCATCCATGGAAAAGTCACAAACAATAGCCCTGTCAATGTTTTTCAAATGTGCAAAGGTTATTTTTACAAAATATTTATTTATTAATTTTCAAATTACTTCACACAGATACATTAAAATCTTACAAACAATTACTCCACTTAAAAAAACATTCTACATTCATACATACATAATGATAATAATTAATCCAAATCTATGATTATAGAACAATACACTTTCCATACCCTTCCCCTCCCTCCTCCCTTACCGTCCCTCCTACCTTACCATCCCTCCTCCCTTACTATCCCCCCCACAGAAAAAGGAATGAGAATCTAAGTTCTCACTTCTTAGTAGCTTATCTCTAAGGATATGTCTACTTCTTCATCGATCTAATGTATTCCCTCCATGGTCTCCATCTCTCCTCAAATCTTTTATAGTTGTCATATAATCGGGCCGTAAGCTCCTCCAATCGCACAATGTTATTCATTTCTGCTACCCACTCTACCATCTGGGGGACCTTTGTTGTAAATGTTATTTTCTGATATT